AAATTTATGCCCGGAGGTCTTAGAAATCATGCCCGGACGTCTTACAGAATCTCAAAATCTTTGAATGCTCCTTATAATCAGAGGCAATGAAACTTTAAAATTTGAAAATCTTTTAATCTTGAAAGTGGTGTGCAGAGGTTTTTTAGAGATCATGCCCGGAGGTCTTAGAAATCTCAAAATCTTTGAATGCTCATCATAATTAGAGGCAATGAAACTTTAAAATTCTAAAATCTTTTAACACATGGCTTTCACCTGATCAGAGATTTTTAATACTCTAAAGGTCTTTTTTTTTTTTGAAAAAGGTTCCCTCTAAGACAGAGGCTTTGAAATCTTGATTGAAATTGGTTCCTTTTAAACAGAGGCTTTGAAATCTTGATTGAGAATGGTTCTTCTGAAATAGAGACTTTAAAACTTTAAAAACATGCCTCCCTTTTTTCGAAGTTGATAAATGTAAACATGATACAAATATCTATTCTCATCAAATGACGCTAATGGAAATGCAAATGTCAATGCCAACGTAAGAATGCAAATGCTTGATACATTTGACTTTTTTTTTTTTACAATGCAAATGACAATGTCCTTTTCATGTAAATGCCCCTACAAATACCTTTTTCTTAAGATGCAGATGCCATGATACAAATGCAAATTCTTCTTATGGTGTGGATGCAAATGTCTTATACAAGTGATGCAAATACGAATGTCTTTCTTGTGATGCAGATACCATGATGCAAATGCAAAAACTCTTCTTCCCTACTTTTTTTATGAAAAATTTTTGTTTTTGTTTTTTTTAAAAAAAAAATTTTTTGTTTAAATTTTCATTGTTTTACTTTCACCCAAAAAAATGATCTTAGTATTTGTGCAAAATGCTCCAATAATCTTGAAATTTTTCAAAAGTGATCAAAAAATTGCCCCACAAAAAGTATCTTTGCAATTGAATGAAAAAATTTAAAACTCAAGACTTTTGAATCTCTTGAAATTGATGATTACTATTTGAAAGACTCATAGGTGAGGTAATTGATATTCAATTCTTTCACTGGTGGCATATCTCATGTAAAGCTCAGTGAAGGTTGCAAGGATTTCTCTTGGGTTCCCAAAAGAGATAATTTTTTTAAAACACTTCTTTTTATTGAAAACGTGATACTCTAATGTGAGTCAAAACTAGCCATTACTTTTCAAACAAGATTTGAGAAGAAGACAAGGTTATTTTTTTATTTTTAAAGGAAGGTCTTTAATGGGTATTGATCTTTCAAAAAGTTTTGTATCGAGATTTTATTTTGGATAGAACCTTGAAACTCTGAAATTCATTTTAGGGCCTCAAAAAATGGCTTTAGCTCTAAACTGCCCTTTTGGGGTTTTCACCTTAGAGCTATATTTTTTTTATCAATGAAGAATTCAAGAAGTATATACAAATTCAAGGATATTTCTCTTCAATCCAAGTATCCATATTTGATCAAAATGGGCTTTTCAAGGTTTGTAATGTAGGCCAAGGTTAAGGGTTCTGAAAAAATGGATAAATAGGCTCAAATATATTATTCAGGGTGATGCCAAGGATCCTGATGAGCACTCTCTGACTCTCTTTTTTTGTCCCCCCTTTTTTTTGAAATATTTGGCTTTAATTTCAGCAACTTCACACACCCCTTTTTTTTGCCTTGAATTCTCATTTTCAAGGTATATATATTTTTTCTTCTTTTTTTTTTTGAATTCTAAGTGAAGCTTCAAATTCTTATCTCTAAGGTTTCTTTGTTTTGCCGTAGAAATACTTAACTTTATCTTTGGCTGTTCACTTTCTTGAATCTTGAAATTTCAATCGAAGCCTTGTTCACTTTTTTACCCCAGACTTTCACCTCCGAAGGGCATGGTAGATGCTTTCAATATCGGATACTTTTCTTGAAGTTACATCTTGAATGTATCTTAATTTTTCCCCCTTATGTAGAAAATGATCCTTGGCTAGGTTTATTTTGGAACAAAAAATTAATAGGCTTAATGGGTAACAAATGGATAATTTTTCTGTACGAGAAGGATAGAGAAAGATGGCCATTCATCATTTTAAACATGATCACTTGGTAGAAGAGCAACCATTGAATATATCCCTTTTGTTTTTTTCTTTTTTTTTTGTTTTTTTGTTTTTTTTTCTTCTTTTTATGCCCCATCCTTTTTTTTACTCAAGGTTTTAATGACGATTAAGTTCATATAGGATTGATCGCATAGCTCAAAAAGGCTCTTTGGGCTCTAAAGTTTTTTTTTTTTGGCATTTTCTTGGTTGGAATGGAAGAGAAAAGGTATAAAGGTATGAAATAAATTGTCTTAGCAGAAAGGGATTTTTTTTCAATGTGCCTTAAGACATGGAACAAAGGTTATTTAAGAAAAAGGCTCTAGTGTTTTTGTATCTATGGTCATAGTAAAATTTTGACACACATTGGACTATCAATTGGAAAATTTGAAAGAATATTTGATTTTTGAAATTCAAAGCAAACTTTCAAAATTAATCCTCTTTTTGTCTTTGCCCATGAAAAAGGGTATCGGCTCTGTCGTAATGGTTTTTGCGTCCGCCGACGAATTTGGAAACGAAATAAAAAATAACGGAGTCGCCACCAATCTTTTTTGGCTAGGTGCGATTGGCCACCTATTAAAACATATCCTTTTAATGAAATCTTAAAATTAATTAAAATTTATTAAAAAGATAATTTTACGGTCTGCGAAACAGTCTAGGTTCGGGAGTCGGTTACGTGTGGGAAAGGATTAGCACCCCCACAGCGCCCGTTAAAAACGGTACCAATTAACAACGTGTTATCCTTTGATTTTGATAAAAACAGTCTTATTTTCAGTATTCGAAAAATAATTTCCTTGATTTTTTATTTATTTTTTAAAAAATTATTCTCGAGAAAAATAAATCAAAACCTTTTTATTGAAATAATTCTTAAAATGTTTCAGTACGTTGGTAACATTAAAAGAACTCTCTCTCACCTAGAGATTTCTTAAAGCATCTCTACTCGGAATACTTTTAGAATCTCATCTTTGGAGGCTCGAATTTATTTTTCGTAAGAAAATGTCATGTTAAAAAAAAATTTATTCTCGAGAAAAAATAAATTAAAACCTTTTTATTGAAATAATTCTTAAAATGTTCAGTACGTTGGTAACATTAAAAGAACTCTTTCTCACCTAGAGATTTCTTAAAGCATCTCTACTCGGAATACTTTTAGAATCTCATCTTTGGGAGGTCTAAATTTACTTTTCGTAAAAAATTATGTCATGTATGCAATGCAAATAATAACATGTTGATGCACACATTTTATTCTTTTTCAAAATTTTATTAATTGTTTTATTAATTTTTAATTTTAATTGAAATTTTGAAGAAAAAAAGGAATTTAATCATATTGAAGATTTTCTATAAATATTCCAATACGCTGGTAATATTTTACAAAAAATCTTCTCACCTAGAGATTTCTTAAAGCATCTCTACTCGAATACTTTTAGAATCCCATCATTGGATTAAATTTCTTTTCTTCCTATTTTTATTACTTATATTTTTAATTTATTAATCAATTTTTATTTATTATTTTAAAAAAAAATCTTTACTGTATTGAAAATTTTTTATAAATACTCCAATACACTGGTAGTACTTAAAAAAATCTTCTCACCTAGAGATTTCGTAGGCATCACTACTCGGAATACCTTTGAATCTCATCGTCGGATAAAAATTTCCTTTTCTCTTATTTTTATTAGTTTAGTATTATTATTAAATTTATTTTTATATTATTGTTTTTAAAGTTTATTAACATAATTACATAAAAAAAATTAACCACAATTTCATCAATTAGTCTAACAAATATAGATATTTTAATATGCATAAATATTAATAAAATAATATATAAAAAATAAGAAAAATTCAAAAAAAAAATTTTTTTACCTGAACCGGACTGGTCAACGGTCTGGTTAACGCCCGGTTTGGTCCAACGGTTTAGCTCGATCTGGTTGGTTCAGCGGTTCGGTATCGGTTCGGTTTGGTTTGGGCGATTCGGTTCTGATTCAGTCAGACCGGTCAGAGCTGATGAAGGAAGCGGGTCGCGAGCCGGGTGCGCGGATCCCGAGTCGGGTCGCGGGTTGACGCGTGGATCCTCCTTGGCTGAAACGGCGTCGTTTTGGCCCTATGCCTAAAACGACGTCATTTTGCTTTTAATTTTTTCTATAAATAACTTGAAAATTTTTTTTGTTCATTTGGTCCTGTTTTCAGAAAAAAAAACGAAAGAGAGAGAGAAGACTTTGGGGGATGGGTTCGGCAGGTCACCGTCCGGCTGTCGCCTGGTCCACCATCGACGGTGGTCGTCGGTGATCGAAAAATGGTCAGAAGGTCACCGAAGACTGCTCTAGACGCCCTCTTTCTAGATCCGATTTCTTTTCACCGAAAATAGCCCCGATCAACGTAGATCGGGGCTCAAAGTTTCTGTTTTCAAATTTTTTTGTTTGGTTTGCTGAAACAAGATTTATGCAATTTTTTTACTTTTGTAGGTAGCTTCGGCGCTGGGTTTCTCCCTGCGGGGAGGACTGTGTTGTTTTTTTTTTTTTACGTTTTTTTTTTTTCGGCTTTAAACTGAGTTTTTTTACGCGTAGGAATGGGGTCTGTCTGGGGTTGAATGGGGATTCCAGAGGGAGATTGAAGGGGATTTCAGCCAGCTCTTTTTTTTCCTTTTTTTTTTTTCGAAAGGGAAATGGCTGAAGATTTTTAAAGGCTTCAATTAGGGGAATCTAGGTTTCTGTAAGGTAGTTGGTTGGTGGCTGTAGGGTGACTGGTCGGGAGGCTGGTCGGGGGGCTGGTAGGGTAGTTGGTCGGGGGCTGGCGACAGCGGCGCCGTACCAACTCCCTGACTTCTATCTTATTCTGTTTCTTTTGTTTGTTTATTTTGTTTTTTTGTTAAATATTATTATTATTATTATAAAAATAAAACAGTAGACCCAGACAAAATCGATGTCTACAGCTGCCCCTCTTTGCACATTACTGAGAATCAAAAATTGGGCAAAGACAAAGACAACGATTTTGTCTGAAAATAAATTCTCTTAGAAAAGCTCCTCTCAGCAGAGGCTCAACAACTTTAAAATTCTCATCTTGAAAAAGCTCCTCTCAGCAGAGGCTCCACAACTTTAAAATTTTTTCTTAAAAAAAGCTCCTCTCAACAGAGGCTCCACAACTTTAAAATCTCATTTGGAAAAGCTCCTCTCAACAAAGGCTCCACAACTTTAAAATTCTCATCCTAGAAAAGCTCCTCTCAGCAGAGGTTCCACAATTTTAAAATTCTCATCTTGGAAAAGCTCATCTCAACAGAGGCTCAACAACTTTAAAATCTCATCTGGAAAAGCTCCTCTCAGCAGAGGCTCAACAACTTTAAAATCTCATCTTGAAAAGCTCCTCTCAGCAGAGGCTCAACAACTTTAAAATTTCTCTTGAAAAAGCTCCTCTCAACAGAGGCTCCACAACTTTAAAATTCTCATCTTTTCAAATTTGAGTTCTCATCTTTGAACAAGTAAATTTCTCTCTTTTGAATTCCTTTGTTTGATCATTGTCTTTACCAAAATCTTGTTTTTTCATTAAGAAATGGAAAATTTCTATCTTTGTTACAACTTCTCATGGATGCATGTACTGAGTGCTCATAATGCAATGCATGTAATGCAATCAAAATCATTCATTGTAGTAAAAAGGTTCTCGAAATCTCTCACTTTTGGCTTCTTTTATCAGAATTCTTATATGACCAATCTGTTCTCAACATCTGACCATAATATTTTTTCTTCAAAAGTCTGCAACATCAATGTCTTGTCATGCTTTTCTCATCCTTTTTCATTTGCCTTTGTCAACTTTAAAAGTAATGCTGAGATCTTTCATGTTTGTTTTTCTTTTCATCATTTTAAGTTCAAGACAAATAAAATGCAATCACATTTCTCTTTGACTTGTACGATGAAAAAATATCAGATAAGGATAAAGGAAAGGATAGGCATTATTTTCAAAGGAAAGATAATGTATTTCATATGGCTGATAACAAGTGCATGTCAAAGTGTTTGAGTTGAAACAAAGGTGTCAAAAGAATGATCATAAGATAATCATGAACAAAATATTCTCAGATTCTTTCTCTAAAACTAAATCAGATGACTTCTTTGATCATTCAGAGTTCGTCAAACTACACTTGCCCCTGCATTGTGGGATCTTTTTTTTTTATGATGCTTCTGCTTCACATCCAAGCCGTCTTTTCAGGTTTTCAGCTTAGATAAGTCATCATTTTTCTTTTTCTTTTTTAAGCAAAATATTTCTTCACAACATCTGAATTTATTGGGGTAGGCAAATCACCTCCGTCCATTTCTGTCAAAATCAATGCCCCACCAGAAAAAGCCTTTTTCACCATATACTGGCCTTCCCAATTTGGTGTCCATTTCTTTCGATTATCATGTTGATTTGGAAGGATTCTTTTTAGCACTAAGTCTCATTCCCTAAAGCAACAGGGATGAGTTTTCTTATCATATGCTCTCATCATCCTCTTTTGATATAATTGACCATGACAAAGTGCTGACAGTCTTTTCTCTTCAATGAGGTTTAACTACTCGTAGCGATTTCGATCCCATTCTGCTTCCTCTAACTCTACCTTCATCAGGACTCTCAGTGAGGGAATTTTCACTTCGACCGGTAGCACAGCTTCCATTCCATATACCAAAGAGAATGGTGTGGCTCCAGTAGACGTTCTGACTGATGTTCTATAAGCATGCAAGGCAAAAGGCAACTTCTCATGCCAATCTTTGTAAGTTTCAGTCATTTTTTCCAGGATTCTTTTGATATTCTTATTCGCAGCCTCCACTGCCCCATTCATTTTCGGACGATATGGTGTCGAATTACGATGACGGATCTTGAAACTGAGTGCATACTTCATTCATCATTTTGTTGTTCAAGTTTTTGGCATTATCAGAAATAATTGTCTCGAAAGCCCATATCTGCATATTATCTCTCTTTTTATGAACTTACATACCACAGATCGGGTCACGCTAGCATATGATGCAGCTTCTACCCATTTGGTGAAGTAATCAATCATCATAAAAATGAATCTATGCCCATTCGAAGCTTTTGGAGTGATGGGACCAATGACATCCATGCCCCACATAGAGAATGGCCAGGAGGAGCTAGAACGTGTAATGTTGATGGCGGAGCATGAATCTTGTCAGCATAAATCTGACATTTATGACATCTCCTAGCATAATCAATACAGTCACTCTCTATTGTCAACCAATAATAGCCAGCCCTCATAATTTGTCTAGCCATCATATGACCATTTGCATGTGCCCCACAAACTCCATCATGCACTTCTTCAATAATCTTTTTGCTTCAGCTGCATTTACACATCTTAAGAGCACTTGATCTCGACCTCTTTTGTAAAGGATATCTTCATCAATGAAGAAACTCATAGCCAATCTTCTGATAGTCCTCTTATCATTTTCAGTTGCATGTTCTGGGTATTGCTGGCTTTTAATGTATTGCATGATATCATGATACCATGGCCTTCCATCAATTTCTTTTTCAACACCTGAGCAATGTGCTGGTACATCTTTCACATCCAGCTTGATGGGTTGGATTTCAGTATTTGCATCTATTTTGATCATTGCAGCTAGAGTAGCCAGTGCATCAGCAATTTGGTTTTCCTCTCTAGGTAGATGCTCAAACTGAACTTCTTTAAATTGCTTAACCAACTCAGAGATGTATTTATGGTACCGAATCAACTTAGAGTCTCTTGTCTTCCATTCACCTCGTAATTGATAGATACTAAAGTTGAATCTCCAAACACATCTAACACTTTGATTTTCTTTTCAATTGTTGCTTGTAGACCTATAACACAGGCCTCATATTCAGACACATTATTTGTGCAATTGAAATTTAACTTGGCTATGATGGGGTAATAATATCCATCAGGAGATATTAAAATTGCCCCAATACCATGACCCAAAGCATTAGCAACTCCATCAAAATACATCTCCATGATTTTTCAACAAGTTCATTTTCTTCAATGGCCATCACATCCTCATCAGGAAAAATCTAATTTCATTGGCTCATAATCTTCGACTGCACGATCAGCAAGGAATTCAGCTATTGCACTCCCTTTAATAGCTTTTTGAGTCACGTAAATGATATCATATTCTGAAAGCATAACTTGCCACCGTGCTATTCTTCCTGTCAATGAGGGCTTTTCGAAGATATACTTAATAGGATCCAGCTTTGCTATGAGCCAAGTAGTGTGATAAAGCATGTATTGTCTAAACCTTCGAGCTGTCCAGGTTAATGCACAACACATCTTCTCTAATGGTGAATACTTTGACTCATAATCAGTGAACTTCTTGCTCAAGTAGTAAATTGCTCGTTCTTTCTTATCAGTTTCATCTCTTTGCCCCAGCACACATCCCATTGAATTTTCATGCACTGTCAAGTACAAAATCAAAGGTTTTCCTGGCATTGGTGGCACCAACACAGGTGGATTTGACAAGTATTCTTTGATCTTATCAAAAGCTTCTTGGCATTCGTCATTCCATTCTCCAGGATCATGTTTTCTGAGAAGCTTGAAAATAGGATCACACTTATAAGTGAGTTGAGAGATGAAGCGAGCAATATAATTTAATCTCCCTAAGAAACCTCGCACTTCTTTTGAGGTATGAGGAGGAGATAAGTTTTGGATGGCTTGTATCTTATCCGGGTCCACTTCGATTCCTTTTTCACTGACTACAAAGCCCAATAGTTTTCCTGATTTGGCTCCAAATGTACATTTGGCAGGATTCAACTTCAACTGAAATCTTCTCAACCTGTCGAACAGCTTTTTGAGATTGACTATATGATCCTCTCCTTCACGAGATTTTGCAATCATATCATCCACATACACTTCTATCTCTTTATGCATCATGTCATGAAAAAGAGTCACCATTGCTCTTTGATAAGTAGCACCAGCATTTTTCAACCCAAAAGGCATGACTTTGTAACAGAATGTTCCCCACATGGTCACAAATGTAGTTTTCTCCATATCATCTCGAGCCATCTTGATCTGATTATAGCCTGAGAAACCATCCATAAAGGAAAATGTGGAGTGCCTAGCAGTATTATCCACTAGAGTATCGATGTGAGGTAAAGGAAAAGTTATCCTTGGGCTTGCTCTATTCAGATCTCGATAATCGACACACATTCTCACTTTTCCATCCTTCTTAGGAACTGGCACTATGTTGGCTACCCATTCAGGATATTTTGCCACTTCTAAAAATCCAGCATCGAATTGTTTCTTCACTTCCTCTTTAATTTTCAGTAGCATCTCTGGTTTCATGCGCCTTAGCTTTTGCTGCATCGGCTTACATCCTGGTTTTAAAGGTAACTTGTGCTCTACAATATCAGTGCTGAGTCCTGGCATATCCTGGTAAGTCCACGCGAACACATCTACATATTCTCGGAGCAACTCTTCTAGCTTCTTTCTTTCAGCTGGTAAAAGAGATGTACCAACTTTGACCTCTCTTTTATTCTCACCATCTCCCAAATTTACTGATTCAGTAATTTCTTGGTGGGGTTCAATTGGCTTATCTTCATGTTCTATTAATTTTAACAAATCAAGAGGCAGTGTGTAGTTATCTGAATCTTCCTCATTATCAAGTTCATCAACATGAATTAAGTTTTCAAAATCAAATCCGAGATTATTGCCATGATTATCTTCATGTTCATTGTTTGGGACCCTGCAAAGGGTAAGATGAAGAGAATATTGGCACACAAAAATGGAATGGCAAGAAAATGTAGGAAAGAAAAGAATGAAAGGTAAAATGAAGATAAAAATAATAGAAGAAATGTGGATGCATCTTCTAAGTCTTTTATTAAAATGACAAACATAAACACACCATAAAAGATCTCCTAATACTCGTAGAAAGTAATTAGGGATTTAAAGTTTCACATTACTTTTCCAAAGTTTTAAAAACAATAGGCAGCTCCGTAACTTTCCAATTATCCAGCTCAAAATCTGAAGGACAAGGGTACACGAACAGCTCTTCACTTCGACTCTTCTTTTCTCCATCATCCACCATTTGAATGGCCAGCTCTGAAAATTTTTCCATGAATCCTGCACTTGAGGCTCCCGGTAAATCTGAATAAATGTATCCTCCCGAGTGAAAAGAATCATAGAGGTATGGAATGACTATGGGCTCTGACTCTGGCTCATATCCCTTAAGATTAGCTATCCTCTTATCTCTTTTCTCATTCACCATTCTTACTCTGTCCCCTCTTGTTGGCTTATATCCCAAGCCAAATCTGTCTCTCTTTTCATATATGGCCGATGGCTTCGTGATTCCTTGCAGGTTCTTCCCAAGTCCGGCTTCAGGTTGCCATCCCATCTTGGTAAGCTGTCTGACTACCATTTTAGTAGTCGTAGATAAGTGTGGCGAATACAATTTAGATCCTTCAGCTATATATGTTGCATTGGTAATCTCGAAAGATCTATAAGAGCATTCTAAAGCTTCATCTGCCGATTTCACATAAGGAGTATTTATCGGTTGAGTTACCAATAAATCTTCTTCTCCTGCCACACATGTTAGCTTCCCTTCAACAATGAATTTGACTTTTTGATGTAATGAGGATGGGACAGCACCTGCCATATGGATCCACGGTCTACCCAATAAACAACTATATGAAAGGAGAGATGTCCATGACTTGAAATTTCACGTTGAAAGTACATGGGCCAATCTGCAATGGCACTTCTATATCTCCCAACACTTCTCTTCTGGTTCCATCAAAGGCTCTCACTATCATATGACTAGATTTCATATAAGATCCATCAACAGGGAGTTTTGCCAGAGTAGTCACAGGCATAACATTGATGGATGAGCCATTATCAATCAAAACCTTAGCCATTATATGACTTTTACATTTCACAGTAATGTGAAGAGCCTTGGTACTTCCTCTACCTTCAGGAGGAATCTCTTCATCATTGAAAGAGATATAGTTTGAAATCGTCAGATTACCAACAAGCTGTTCCACATATTCAACAGAAGCATTGTGAGACACATATGCTTGATTTAGCACCTTCAGTAAAGCATTACGGTGTGACTCTGAATTGAGCAATAATGACAATAGCGAAATTCTAGCTGGCATCTTGTTAAGCTGTTTTACCACGCTATACTCACTATGTTTTATTAGCTTCAAAAATTCACCTGCTTCACTCTCAGATACTGGCTTCTGACATTCTTTTTCTGGTGTTGCATCAAGATCACTCTGACTTTCATTTTCTTCCCCTACCTTGGCTTTCTCCTTTCTAGCTTTTTCTAGAGCCTCTGAGGTATAGCACCTGCCACTTCGGGTTATGCCTCCTACACCCGTTATATTAGCAGTATCTGGGTTGACTACGACACCATAATCGTACTTCCAAGGTACTGCTTTATCATTCTGATATGAAAAAGGGGCAGGAACTTTAATTGTCACCACTGGTCGAAAGACGAGTTTTTCTAGCTTCGATGTTGGCTTCTCATCATAATAGATAGTTACTGGTCTACGCCCAAACTTATTCTTTGAATCAATGGTAGACACTTTCACCAACTCTTCTCTCTCTTGGTAAAACTCCATTCGACCTTCATCCATCAATTTTTGCACCTTTTGACGAAATTGGTGACAATTCTCGATAGAATGCCCCAGAACATCTCTGTGATAAGTGCAGCTTTCAGTTGAGTTTATCATTTCAGAGTAATTTTGAGGTTCTATTGGCTTCAAACATGTCAGTTTTGACCAATACTTCGAACACCTTAGCCATAGGAGTTTTGACCTCCTCTATTCTTCTTTTCACATAACTTGTTTGCCCATCAATCAAAGCATTTATTGATGGTTTGGTATGATTTGGTAGAGGGTTTCCATTGACATTTGGAGTCCTTTGTTGGCTGGTATCAAAATTTAATACTCCTTCATTGATTAACCCCTGCACTTTACGCTTCAAAGCAGTACAGTTCTCAGTGGAATGACCTGGATTCCCATAATGATAATCACAATGTGCATTGGGGTCATACCATTGGGAAACGGAGGTTTCATAGGTTCAATGATAACAGGAGCAAGCAGATGTTTCTCAACAAGTTGAGGATACAGATCTGTATATGTCATGGGAATGGGATCGAAAGTGAATTTTTCTTGGATATTTCTTGGGGCTCGTGGACTACTATTAGGTCTCCAGTCTGGTCTTGTAGGTACAACAGGACGGTTATAAGAATAAGTGGGTGTTCGAAAGGATGGTTGAAAATGAGGTGAATAAGCTGGTTGTGGTAATGACTGGTATGGTTGATGTGAATGAGGGATGGATGTAACATGGTTTACAGAAGGGTAATGGGTCTGGTATACTGGTGTAGGATAAGGTGTGAAACCTCTGAATTGTTGCCCCATATAGTTCACTGCTGGAGCTTCATTCTCCTTCTTTCTAGGAGCTCCACCTTTCTTTACTCCACTTGTCTCTCCCGCATCGAGCTTACCATTTTTTATGACATTTTCAATGATCTCACCGGATATCACCATATCGACAAAATTCTTGGTTGCATTACCTATCAATCTTTCATAATACGGTGCTTTCAAGGTATTCACAAATAAAACAGTTGTTTCTTTCTCAGTGAGAGGGGGTTGAACTTGTGCAGCCACGTCTCTCCATCTTTGTGCATACTCTTTAAAGTTTTCAGTTACTTTCTTTTCCATGCTTTGAAGAGACAGACGATCTGGAACCATATCCGTGACATGCCGATATTGTGTAAGGAATACCTTTGTAAGCTCTTGCCAAGAACGAATATGAGTCCTATCTAGCTGGACATACCACCTAGCTGTAGAACCCGTAAGACTATCTTGAAATATGTGCATTAACAACTTCTCATCTCGAGCATATGCTACCATCTTTCGACAATACATGGTTGATATGGGTCATTGGGCAATTTTGTACCATCATATTTTTCAAATTCAGGGACCTTGAATTTAGTGGAATTACCACATCTGAACTAAACAAAGATTCAGCTGCATCTGTGGAGCCATAAAAATTCATTCCCTCTACAGCCCAAGCCTTTCTCCAATATCTTCATCTTCTCCCGGGCACTGGTATCTTCTACTTTTTCAGGTGTCTGCATCCCTAGCTTTTCTCTTTCCTTGGGATCATCTAAATCAGGAACTAAGATTGGCTCAGGTGATTTTTCCATCATAATGGGATTAACAAAATTCTGAAATTGTCCTGTAGGCAGTGTGGATGTCATTCCTGGATAAGGATTAGGATATCCACCGGGAGTAAAAATTGGTACTCTAGTTCCTTGTGAAGGTTGGTTCAGTCGTGGCTCAAACCCTGGAGGATAGACAGGATCTACCATATCTGGCGATTGTTCTTGAAAGCTAGGATTTTCTTCCACTGTTTTTCCTTTGTCAAGTTTCTTGAGCATATCCATTATTGTACTAAGATCTCCTTTTAGTTCTTCTTGAGCTTTTTCAATTCTCTCAAATCGACTGGCCTGTTCTTGCTCCATGATTCTTGTCTGTGTCCTGGTATTGTATGAATGACGAGTAGGTTGGGCCGAAATTTTTGATGGGCGAGCTATTCTTGAACCTTTATTACCACAAAATTTTTTTATTTTGAAAAAGAAAAAAAAATAAAATTAGAATGCTATGTGTTAAAAATTTTACTTTATGAAAAATGATGTATATGATGCATGAATGCAAGTGAGAGATATTTGTTCTTGAACGAATTTCAACATTAGAAATTTTTATTGATCTCATACAACTTTTATTACATAGGATTTATCATCCTAGAGTTATATCCATAAAAGCATTTAACTTGCTCATAATGGTCCTTCACCTCATCTAGAAAGTTCACTAGGCACTGTCCATATTCTCCTATGGGATTGACTTCTCTTCTTAATGCTTCTACCTTTTCAACCATCTCCCATGCTTTCCTCACTGCCTTGCAAACTTGATTAGTCAAGTGCTTTATGTACTGTTGCCTCCCTAAACTTTCTGCCTTCCATCTCATATGAGCATCCCTTTCTGAATCACATGTGAAGATCCAATCTTTTTCCCTTCTATGCCACTCATCTATCATTGCTGAAATATGACTTTTGTGGTCTTGCAGTTGTAGCTCTAACCCTTGGATCACCTGGTGAAGCGATTCTTTTTCATTCAATACTTCGAAGTGCTTTTTTCTTTCTTCTGCGAGCATGACTTTTAATCTTTTCTTTTCATTTTGGCATTCCACCAATCTTGCTGAGGTTGTAGAGTATAATCCCTTCCAATTCTGACATTCTTGAGAAATTCTGGTGGTCTCCTCTTGCTTTTCTTGAGCTTTGCCCTTCCATTGGTTTATTCCCTCTCGGAGCTTATCCATTTCACGTTGTCGGCCAAGGTAAGACTTGGTAACTAGTAACCTCTTATTTTCTTGATGTAGATCTTTCAAGTCACTATTAGCCAAATCTCGCTCTTTTATGACTTTTTCTAATATGCTCCCTTGTATCTCCGCTTCATATCTTAATTGCCCTACTTTTTCACGAAGTCTCAAATTTTCTCTTCTTATTTCTTCTTTTTCAGCTTCTAATTCTTTCTTAACAAGCTCAACTTCTGATAATTGCACCTCTTCTGAAAGATTAACCAATTGATATGAGCTATCATCAGGAGGGAGTACTATGTCTCTAGGCCGCATTGCTTTCCAAATCTGATAATCAGAAGTGACTTTATCGATGAAAGGCCCTAACCTCATTCTTTGTGTTCTCTTCCATGCTTGGATCAACTGCTCCGAAGTTCTTGATGGATTTGATTCCCCATAAATGAATTCTACTTGGACCAGGCCATGAGTAGCAGGAACAAACTGTTTTGCACCAAATTGCCTAAGTGCCATCAATGGAGCATAACTTACAACACCCCATAGCCCTAATAACGGAATCCATGGCTCATTTCCTCCACGATACAACAAGGGCACACGAGGCATCCAAGGCACCATCCATTCGATTTCATCCCCAGTAATCCTTCGTAAGAAAAGGACCCATTCTTCCTTAGTCTTTAATGTCGGCCATTGGCTTTTGCAAAACTCTTCGAGTGGTGCTTTATTTCGAAGATATGGTTTCGAAAATGCACTTTTCCCACATTTGAAATGACTTCTGACCCATACGTATAATAGAGATGCACATCCTATGAATCGACCTTTCCCATTTCGTCGACAAAAATTCAATGACCTGATGGTTTCGGCTAGGACTGCTGGAGCGGGATTAATTGTTTGGGTTTTAATTTGCTCGAAAAAGTCTACCACAGTTATCTCAATGTAACCCAAAGTCTTTGGAAAGATTACCATGCCATACAATGCTAGAGCAAACACATCCATACCTTGATCATTATCCAAATGCTCCTGAATGAAATTTCGAAGAAAGTCCCAACGAATGCCGAGATGTTTACCTTTAGACTTCACAAAGGAATCAATGGTTTCTACTTTAACCTCCATAAGCTTGGCTAACTTTTTACGATAACCTGATTTTGGCTTTCGGGTAAATACTTTATCTGGACATTGTAATTCTATCCCGAGCAAAATCGAATACTCCTCGATGGTTGGCACCAAATCTTCCTGATTAAAAGTGAAGCATCTATAGGATGGATCCCAAAACTGTATAGCTGCTTTGACCAGCTGTTCATCAACCACTACTGAAATGAGAGATGCAATCTGCCCATACTTTTTGCAAAAGCTTTCTTTTCTTCCTTCACTTAACTGACCCCAGATAGCAGCTAACTCTTTTAAATCATTCTGTGTGAGATCTAAATGCACTTTTTCGGGTAACTCAGACATATAACTGGTATGCAAACAATCTCCGTTCTTTTGTTGAGCCTCTTTCGACCAAACATGTACTTCATTATACGACTCACATGGCACACTGACTGAGGATGAGCAAATCTGTAGTTCTATGGGATCCATGAAAACTTCTTGGGAGAAATATCCTTGAGCAAATATCTCGATGCAAAACTGTATGATATGATTAATGTAACAAAATTGAGTTAGTGTGAGGATGTGATTTTAAAAAAAAAATTGTTTTTTTTTTTTTAGAGATTTTTTTGTTTGTTTTGTTTTGTTTTGTATTATACACAACTTTTATTCTTGGATATTTTTTACAAGAAAGTGGATGGAGCTCTACATAAGGCTGGTTTCCTAGGCTTATTATATGCTGGGTTTGGATTGACAGGGTCTAAAGGTTCCCAAATTGTTCCTCACTGTCGTCCATATTGGACTAGTAAGGCATCCCGATCCTCACCCATTACAGGCTACTAACGGAAAGGGTTCAATTCGAGTGGAAGTATTTCGCTTGCCATTGCGGAGGTTATCACCTCACGAGAGCAATAGGTACTTTACTTCCTTCTATAAAGGACGAAGCCCGGGTATAGAGCTCATGTATGAGATGCATCGTGCCATTGTGTGCAAATATATCCTAATTTATTGAAAGCAATATATATACAAAAAATAAAACATAAGAGGCATAATAAGAGAAATGTGTGTGAATTTTTTTGCTTTTTATTTTTGATTTGTTTGGTTTTGTTTTGTTTTACTAAAAATGAAGAATAAAAAATTAAGAATTTGATTAAGACTATTTAAATCAAAATTTAAGGATAACAAGTAGTTAATTTTGGCTTGACTCTCAAAAACAAAATGCGTCCCCAGTGGAGTCGCCAAGCTGTCGTAACGGTTTTGCGTCCGCCCGACGAATTTGGAAACGAAATAAAAAAAACGGAGTCGCCACCAATCTTTTTTGGCTAGGTGCGATTGGCCACCTATTAAAACATACCTTTTTAATGAAATCTTAAAATTAATTAAAATTTATTAAAAAGATAATTTTACGGTCTGCGAAACAGTCTGAGTTCGGGAGTCGGTTACGCGTGAGGAAGGATTAGCACCCCCACAACGCCCGTTAAAAACGGGTACCAATTAACAACGTGTTATCCTTTGATTTTAATACAAACAGTCTTATTTTCAATATTAAAAAAATAATTTTCTTGATTTTTATTTATTAAAAATTATTCTCGAGAAAATAAATCAAAACCTTTTTATTGAAATAATTCTTAAAATGTTCCAGTACGTTGGTAACATTAAAAGAACTCTTTCTCACCTAGAGATTTCTTAAAGCATCTCTACTCGGAATACTTTTAGAATCTCATCTTTGGAGGCTCGAATTTATTTTTCGTAAGAAAATGTCATGTTAAAAAAATTTATTCTCGAGAAAAATAAATTAAAACCTTTTTATTGAAATAATTCTTAAAATGTTCCAGTACGTTGGTAACATTAAAAGAATTCTTTCTCACCTAGAGATTTCTTAAAGCATCTCTACTCGGAATACTTTTAGAATCTCATCTTTGGAGGTCTAAACTTACTTTTCGTAAGAAATTATGTCATGCATGCCATGCAAAATATTTTCATGTTTATGCACACATTTTATTCTCATTCAAAAATTTATTAATTATTTTATTAATTTTAATTAAAATTTTGAAGAAAAAAAGGAATTTAATCATATTGAAAATTTTCTATAAATATTCCAATACGCTGGTAATATTTTAAAAAAATCTTCTCACCTAGAGATTTCTTAAAGCATCTCTACTCGGAATACTTTTAGAATCTCATCATTGGATTAAATTTTTTTCTTCCTATTTTATTACTTATATTTTTAATATATTCATCAATTTTTATTTATTATTCTTAAAAAAGAAAATCTTTACTGTATTGAAAAATTTTTTATAAATACTCCAATACGCTGGTAGTATTTAAAAAAATCTTCTCACCTAGAGATTTCGTAGGCATCACTACTCGGAATACCTTTAAATCTCATCGTCGGATAAAAATTTTCTTTTCTTTCATTTTTTATCACTTTAGTATTATTATTAAATTTATTTTTATATAATTGTTTTTAAAGTTTATCTTAAAAATAAAAAAATTTAACTACAATTTCATCAATTAGTTTAACAAATATAAACATTTTAACATA